GGTCTTACCTTTCAATGGATAGCGAATGCAGTAATGGATTACTGAATAGCAATCAAATTAAACCACAATTAGTGCCAAACGTTAACTCAATGTACGGTTAACTCAAGTGAATGACACACACATGAGACAGAAAATGGTTTATGTATTCACTATATTTGTAGACCAATACACTGTATTCCTAACCAATATATTCCACAAAAGTGGCGCACCGTTTGTACTCATACTATGCGGCAGTTTTCGCAATACAGCGCTATTTATACAGGAAATGCCAGCAAAAGTTTACGTACACTTTGCCTGACGCGTACGCAATAGCGTGAGTAGACTGTATGACACAACTGTTTTCTCTGGTGTTATGTTTTGATTTGAAATAATCAGTGATTTGTTTGTGATTTTCATTTCATTCATTAAATTATGGTTTGATTTGTAATACAATTACTGCTGTTTTTTTGGACACAAATATTATCATTAATTAAAACATATGGCAAAGTAAGTGATGTCTTCATTGATCATAACATACCCATTGCTTGTAATCCATTCCTCCTCTTCTCGCTCCGATTCATACGAAGACGTTATTTCGACGACTCGTCCAAAATCAAGGCCGGAGTCATCAGGTATGACATGAGTGGACGGCCGGAGAGGGCACGTGTCGGCCCACCCGTACGCCCTCTTGTTTGTGATTGAATTGTAACTAATGTACGGCTGATTTGGATCCGCTAGCGATGCGTTGAGGGAGGCGTTGGACGTACACGAAGACAAACTGCCGATTTGGATATACCGGATGCGAGTGCTCGGGTATCCGCCCGGGTATCTAAATAACTAATGTACGGCTGATTTGGATCCGCTAGCGATGCGTTGAGGGAGGCGTTGGACGTACACGAAGACAAACTGCCGATTTGGATATACCGGATGCGAGTGCTCGGGTATCCGCCCGGGTATCTAAAACAGGCTCAGGTCAGCACTCTATCCATGTTTGACGACTCGACCGCCAAAGAAGATGGAGAGCTGAACGAGTCGACGACCGCATCGCCCGCCACTCCTGTTCAGTACAATAAAGAGTCGTTTGTCGAGTATCCGGGCTTTAATACACCCGTTCCCGAAGGCATCAAAGATGTAATCGTCTCTCAATTGTTGCCACAAATTCGTATTCATATTGTATTTTATTTTTCATTACCACTCTATCTGAAGGATTGGTATATTCTTCGTATGCCTCCGATGTTAGAGCAGCAGCAGCTGAAGGAGGCGCTCAAGACTATGCACGTGACCGAACCCGTGCCTTATAAGCGTATGAGACAGGAGCCGCCCTCCACTTCAACACCTGTTCGGCCAAACAATTCAAGTGAGTATTGAATTGAATCTTTTTTGTCTCTTGTATTCATTTTGTCTTTCATTTACGCAACAGAAGCTGAGGTTTCATCAAATGGTTGTGAAAAGGATGTGGAAGTGATTGGCGAACAATCAAAAGACAAATCATTAGACAGTTCGCTAAATTCATCCCCAGATTCTGTACAAATAATAAGCGATTCCGAGGCCAACACGAGCCAAGTCTTGGATGACTCGTCGGTTAAAGAGTCTTCGGATAACGATTTGACCAAATCATCGCTCAATGAGAGCACAGACAGCGCTAGAAGACTGAAACTAATCTCAATGGGGAGTCCAATGCCAGCGTCGGAGCGCCCGACGAGACCAGCATTGGAGAAGTGGTCGGTAGGGATGGGAGAACTGTTACACTTCGAGAACCCGTCCGCATATACGGGACATTTTGACAATAAAATGAAAGGACTTATTAACAAAATTAGGCTCAAGAATAGACAGACATAGCATTAATTGACAAAATTCTTATATTTATAACAAAACATTAATTAAAATATATATTTCAAACAAATTTAATTCATTTTCTTTTTAATTTTCATTTGTAAATTAACTATTCATTTGGTGTTTTAAAACTAATTGTAAAATAGTTATATACAGTACTGTATAAAGATTGAAAAGTGTTTTATATATAATTTAAAATATTTGTTTTCAATTTTTAAAAATCAATTTTAATAAAAATAAATAAAAATAGTGTTAATATTCTAATCGATTGAGAATTTACGGTGAAATTAAAATTAAAAGTGAAATTTTCCAAATGAGTCATCTAATGCTTATTAATGCCTTCTCTAATCGTGGGTTCTTTGGATTCCTTCCGTACCTGAGATTCCTTCTGTACCTTTGGTTTGATGTCTTTCTTCTGATCGTCTTTTGGTTTGGGTTTGTCTTTCTCTTTGGGTTTGTCTTTCTCTTTGGGTTTGTCTTTCTCTTTGGGTTTGTCTTTCTCTTTGGGTTTGTCTTTCTCTTTGGGTTTGTCTTTCTCTTTGGGTTTGTCTTTCTCTTTGGGTTTGTCTTTCTCTTTGGGTTTGTCTTTCTCTTTGGGTTTGTCTTTCTCTTTGGGTTTGTCTTTCACTTCGGATTTGTCTTTCTTTTGTTGGCTGTCTTTCTGGCGCTGAATGTCTTCGTTTGGATACTGTTTGCAGAGGACGTGCGTTACTGTGAAGACCAGAATAACAAACGCTATTAAAGCGAACAATGAGTTGACGAAAGTTTCATTGATTCGGCCGATAATATCGCCGCAAAGAATGTCGAAAATGCCGTATAAATAGCCCGAAACGATGCGACAATCGGCGGCACTTCTGAATGTGGCCAAGAGGTCCATCATTGAGTTGCCTTTACTCGACAGTTGATTCACACCTCTGAGCACTTTGTCCCGAAGTGTTTGCGGACACACAGTAAATGTCGAGTTGGCCTTCAGATTGGACGGCGTGAACACGTCGAGCAAACTGATGCCTTTTTGGATCAGTTTGTCGGTAGTATCGCAATAAGTGTTGACCAAATTCTCTAATTTAGCCAACATATTGGTGTACGTCTGACGGGAACTGTTGAGCGCCGCTTCGGCCTCGTCTAAGAGTTTGCGAACCTTCCCGTCTTCGAAGGGACACTCGAATAAGTAGTTATAGACTATCGTATCGTTGAGTTCGTCGTTAAAGAAGTCTTTGGCGTCAATGCAAAAGTCCGATATGAATACCCCTCCGCCTAACGCCAGTCCGTTAATCATTCCGCATATTATTAGACCAATAATCGACAGCAGAGTAAAGATGGCGAGCATGTGATGGGTTAAGACATCGCACAGAATGATAATACCGATGACCACCAATAGGAAGCAAATGGCGGCCATAAAGCCGACGATCCACGATGCTAGGTTGGCCATCAGGAAACCATATAAGTTGATATAATATGGATATACGTCTACATCGAGTCTCATGAGTCCGAGTGTCGGGAAATTGGATTTGAATATCCGGTCGTTTGCGTTGTCTATGAAATCGACGAGTTTATCGGCATTCATGGTAAAGCTTGGGAGGATTGACGAAAGCCAATTGTAGACCTTATATGTGGACATCTGTTGCTCCAGATTTCTCACTATTTGTTTGACACTAAAAGTGGGCACAAAGTTAATCGCATCGATGGCAGCCCTCACCCGATTGAACCAATCGATCATTTGGTGGGTCAGATCGAGTATAGTGTCTATTCTGTCGTATATCGTCACCAGATTATAGATATCCAGTATTACACATATACTAACAAATATGACGAGTATTATCAACACTAGAGTCGGAACCGTTCCTACAACTGATGGAAACCCAATGCAAACAATGAGTTTTGTATTTAACAAATTGTGTGATAAACCCGTTTAGTTACCGATCTTTGGTTCAGAATCTTTGGGCTCATTCTTGGATCTGACGCGAAGACGGATGAATACAATGATTATATAAATCAAATACGCGATGCAAATAATCATCAGTAAAACGATTGACATAATGCCTGACATCGCGATGGATGTGAGGTATCGCTTGTTATCGAAATCAAATCTATTGCTAACTCTTTTCAAATTGTAGTACAGATGCGGCCAATTGTGCATATATTTAGTGCTGTTCACGAGTTTATACATTCGGCCCATATTTGCGATTTGGATGGTATTCAAAGACTTTATGTCAGAATAACTAATATAACAGAATATCAAAACCAATTGATTTAAATATTTGGCTTTAATTGACCGTTAAATTTGTGCACTAATTACTGATAACAATGTGAATGTGTTTTAAATTTGCGTTGAATTCTATGTGAAATGAGTTAAATTGTTGATTTGACTTTACAATAGTTACTGCAGACGCGCTAACAATCAAATTGTTTAATTCGTGAAATGCTATTTATTTATTCATTCAATTCAATGTACAGTAATTCTGGGAATTGTTGAATATTTACTGAATTAAATCGACGGACAATTTGTTGCCTCAAAATAATAAGTTTTAAAAAACGTTTTGGCATTCAGTAAATCAAAGAAAGACAACTGATTTCATACATGTTTCATATATTTATATTACAAAACAGACATTGAAATCACATCATTATAATTATATTAATTATGTTAAAAATTGAGAAAAAAACAACTGACGATTCCTTTGCTATATTCATATTTACAGACATTAATCGCAATTAAAAAACAAAACTTATATTAATTTTTAAAAAAAGTCAAAATTCTTATGAACATAAAAAACAAATAAATAAATAAATAAAACGATAAATTAGGCGAAAAAATTACATATCAATGAGAATTAAAAAACAAGCAAAAAATATAAACATTTTGACGATTAGGGCCTACAATCATACTTCAGGTCAGGCCTTGGAGTGAACGCTATTATAGTGTTTGCGCATGTTGCCCTTCTCGACAAAGCGCTTCTCACAGCCGGGCCACTCGCACTTATGCGGTTTATCGCCCCGATGTATCATTAAATGCATCTCCAGTTTGTTGCGGCGGTCAAACTTGGACTCACAGCCGGGCCAACTGCACCCGAACTTCTTGCCCCCCGTATGCGACAGTCGATGAGTGGCCAGAATGTGGTAACGATTGCAGCGGAACTCGCAGTTCTCCCAAATGCATCGAAACACCTTCTCATTCGTGTGAATCACTTTGTGAATAGTGAGCGCGCGGTTCGCCTTGAATGCAGAGTCACAACCTTTGCATTGAGCGCACAATTAGTACAACAAATGGTCACTTATTTATAATTATATATCTCTATAAACATTCAATTGAACAGTACATACCCGGCCAATCGCACTGCAAGTAGAAAACAGAAATATAATTAATTAGAGTAATGAAGTGAGTGAGAGAGTGAGTAAGAGAGAGAGAGAGAGAGAGAGAGAGAGAGAGAGGGAGANGAAATATAATTAATTAGAGTAATGAAGTGAGTGAGAGAGAGAGTAAGAGAGAGAGAGAGGGTGAGGAGACATACCCTATACGGACGGTTATTGCTGTGAGACTTTTGATGAGACCTGAGACAGTCGGATGAAGTAAAGTTGGCGTCACATCCGGGCCACATACACCTTTTAGTGCATAAACATAATATTAATCAATATTACATTCAGTAAATAATAATTAAGTGGACAGCTATGGGGCACTCACTTATAGGGTCGCTCTCCCGTGTGATTCATTATGTGTATTTCAAGTCTTTGTTTAGTCATTCCTCTGTCGGACACAATAATTAAACAAATTGTCTGTTAATCATAAATACAATATAATTTTGCTATAAAAAGATGACAACCTATAGGAACATCCGGGCCATTCGCACCGGAACTGCTTCTCTCCCGAATGTCTCTACAATTAATAATTCAATTAATTATAAAATAATTATAATTATCAACTAAACAGCAAAACAACTGACCTGTAAATGAATAGAAAGGCCGAGTTTGGTCTTAAGTGCGGCGTTACAGCCCTCCCACGTGCACCGATAGCGCCGCAAATCGCTGTGACATGACTTCAAGTGAACATCCAATGTGTTGGAGCGCGCGAACGACTTATTACAGTCGGTCATTGGACACACATATGGCTAGACATCACATAATAATCCAATGTTATGTTCAGCGGTTAAATAGTAACTAATAATCATTTAATCAAATACTCGGTCTCCGGTGTGGGCGCTGTTGATGTGTTCGCTCAACATTTTACTTCTGGTGCACTGATAGGCGCAGCCATCGTATGTGCATTTGAAAGAGTGTTTAGCTGCTCTCTTGACGGACGACGCCGTCATCTCAGCGGCCATACCCTCTGCCGAGTCGTCCAATGTGTCCAACTTTCGCGGCCGACCTCTAGATTTCTGCCGTTTTGCTATAAAACGACAGACATTTATAATGTAAAAATTCAGAGACAAAATTTAATTCAAATACAAACCTATTATCGATTCAAATGTAGTTTTATTTACACCAAAAGTTGCATTATTTTTAGAGTTATTTAAATCGGGAAACAATTTGTACTTCAAGTCAACGCTTTTGTTCAACGCGTCAATCGTTTGCCTTTCATTCAAAGTGTTTTTGTACTCCATTTGCAAATCAACTAAATTTTGGTCACTTTGGAGACAATTATCGTTCATAAGAGCGAACCTCTCCTCGAAGTAGTGCTTAAATTTGGTCAGTATTTCGTTGATCTTATGTGAGAACAGCAACTCATTGGACAACTTCTCGTTCTCGGCCTTCAATTGATTCAACTTCTTATTCTTGAGCCTAACGTTTGTCTTCTGGCGTCTGAATTGAGTCAATTCGGTCTTCAGTTTCTGCACTTCAGTCTTCAATTGATGCACTTCTCGCACGTGACTCGACCGCAACGACCGGTCCATCGCCGCCGACCGCCCGGACCTCACAATCAGCCCGTCTTTGCAGTCCTCGGTGTCGACCACTGGACTCGCGTTCGTGTCATTTGTCGGCGTCTTTTCGCTCGTTTCGTGACTATTGTTCACAACAATCATATTGTCGTCAATCACTACACCGGACGCCGACTCTTCGGCGCCACTAACTAATGGTCGCTCTGTCGGTACCAACTCTTCGCTCAACTCAATGGGCGTCTGCTGTGGTGTCAATGACTGCGGCACTGGTTTGTCATCGAAGACACAGCCGTCGGTCAACAACGAGTCCATCGGTGTCTCAATGTCTTCCATCACAACATCGGTGGCCATCACTTCGGCGGCGGTCACCGCAGTTGCGCCCAAACAGTCCATTATATGGCGAGTGGACACGGATTGGGACACAAAACACTTCTTCGTCGGTAAATCACCGCTTCTTAAGAGCCATAACTGAGACAAACCATTGCGAGACAACTGAAAGCCGATCACAAAACACACGTGTCTTTTGTTTTGTCAATCGTTTTGATTGTAATTAACGGCAAATCAATGGAAAGTCAATTGATTTGAAAGCAAATTCAAAACACAATTAATTTTCATCCAATGTTTACATTACTTTTGAAAATACACAATGAATTCGATGGCAATTGTAGTGCAGATTCAATAGTGTGTTAACTGACATCACGTATGAATGCATTCAAGTTAACCCTATTTCTATGTATTGTATTGAGTAATAGTTAACGTGTTTTCAGTTTTCTTCAATGCATTCAACGCCCAAAAGTTTGAATATAAATGTGAACACAAATAATGTACAAAACTGTCAAAACCCTAATCTCATTGAATGTGCAAACATTGGGGGCGGGGAGGGGGCGGAGTAATCCTATAAACTACAATTTTCGTACTGAATTGCAGTTTAAAATTAAGTAATTATTTGGTTTATTTTATTAAAATACTGTATTACATAAAATATTTGACCATTCATAAATAAATATTCTAAAGTGCTTTCGTTATAATAATTCAAGAATATCTCGATTCTGTCCAGAATTTAATCAAGAATTGTAACGTTGTTTGTGAATAACTCGCGTGTGTTTACAAAACATAGCGTCAATTCACGTGTTGTTAACATTTCGTAACAAAAACTTTGTGTCAAAACTAAAGTCACTTTAATTGCGATTAAATACCAGACAATCGGGCGAATGAGATGTCAAACATCACCAGAACTGATCCCAAGAATGAACGGGAATACAGTCGCAAGTGTTTGCAGATCGTGGAGAGTCTTCTGGAGGAGGCGGTGACCTCAGAGCTGGTGACGGACTTCTTGGACAAGTGTCGGTACATCACTGCCAACCACTACAACGACGTGTGTGTCGAGAGGTCTTTGTGCGATATGTGTGGCTATGCGTTGTGTGGGAACCGGTTGTCCGCCAGACCTACCGGTGCTCTCAAGACTCGCTTCCAATCGAAACAGACCTTTAAGATCGACGCGAAGAGGAATCGCGTTTACAGGAAGGAAGACTGTGTGGCTATGCGTTGTGTGGGAACCGGTTGTCCGCCAGACCTACCGGTGCTCTCAAGACTCGCTTCCAATCGAAACAGACCTTTAAGATCGACGCGAAGAGGAATCGCGTTTACAGGAAGGAAGACATTCACCACTTCTGCAGCGATCTCTGTCTCATGGCATCCAATTATCTGCGGCGACAGCTCTCCGAAGAACCCATTTATATGAGAACTAAAGAGACGACGAATGCACTCAAAGACATCCGACTTTTTGATAAGGATTTGTTGTCGAAGGATGTGATCGACGACTTGAATCCAAAGCCGATTGACATCACCGCCGAAAAGGACACCAAACGGGCCAAAGAATTAGTCGGTTATCCATACGTAACCGAAGACTATTTGGATCTATTGAAGGATCAGATGAAGGACTTAACTATTAAAGAGAAATTAGTGAGCGTTGAACGAGAGTCGGACACGACGTCCGAAAATAGTGAACATATCAGTGATAATGAAGTGACACATGATTTGGGACACAATTATGACGAATAAAGACAGGACTCAAGAGTAGACTATTTATGACATTTACAACCATTTAATGATATGTTTATTTCAATGCAAATAATGAAAATATTTGTCTGTTTTATAATAAATTAAATCATTTCAAGTAATAATGAAATATAAAAATATGAAACATTTAAAGTCTAGTTAAAAGGCGATTGGTATTAAAGTAGTGGATCTCAAGAGTATTTCCAATTCTAAGACATTCACCACTTCTGCAGCGATCTCTGTCTCATGGCATCCAATTATCTGCGGCGACAGCTCTCCGAAGAACCCATTTATATGAGAACTAAAGAGACGACGAATGCACTCAAAGACATCCGACTCTTTGATAAGGATTTGTTGTCGAAGGATGTGATCGACGACTTGAATCCAAAGCCGATTGACATCACCGCCGAGAAGGACACCAAACGGGCCAAAGAATTAGTCGGTTATCCATACGTAACCGAAGACTATTTGGATCTATTGAAGGATCAGATGAAGGACTTGACTATTAAAGAGAAATTAGTGAGCGATGGACGAGAGTCGGACACGACTTCCGAAAATAGTGAACAACATATCAGTGATAATGAAGTGACACATGATTTGGGACACAATTATGACGAATAAAGACAGGACTCAAGAGTAGACTATTTATGACATTTACAACCATTTAATGATATGTTTATTTCAATGTGAATAATGAAAACATTTGTCTGTTTTATAATAAATTAAATCATTTCAAGTAATAATGAAATATAAAAATATGAAACATTTAAAGTCTAGTTAAAAGGCGATTGGTATTAAAGTAGTGGATCTCAAGAGTATTTCCAATTCAAATAGATTTCGCTCCCTTTTGGGCTCCTTTTTCTCCATATATCTGTTGGAATAGTGTTCGAAGTCATCAAATGTCTTGGGATCTAGTATTTTGACCAATGAGTAGAAATCTTTTGCGGCATTAAAGTCAATGCCCTCTTTGGTGGACACAAATATAATACGTTTAGCTTTGGAAAGGTTTCCCTTTTCCACACAAGAGGACAATTTCTTCCAACTCCTACTACTGGAGACATGTCTGGACTGATCCTCGAAGATAAAGGCCTTTAGGTTAAGTGTCCGAAAGCTTAGCGTGTCTTTGATCTCATAGTAGAGGTCGTAGTTAATGATCATAATGTCGTGAAACGGTTCCGGATATACGTAAATGTCTTCGACAGTCGTGCACTCCTTTATACGCCACTCATCGGAGGGTTTGTTGAGACGGAACAAGAGTTCGGTCGACCAATGGGACTGTCGGTCGCGATCGCACACTATAACCAGTGGCCAGTCTTCCCGAAAGTATGTCATAATCGTGAGTGAAGTCAAGGTTTTGCCGTAGAGTTCACCGAAAAGAATACACTTTCCCTCCCGAATGATCGCCGAATAGAAGGCAATCAATTGATTTTGTGTCAAATCGGTGAACATGTCGTGTCTGTGCATAAACTGATAGGAGTTGGAGTGATCCGCACTGTCTTCGAGCGATTCGATGATCTCTTTGCGGCCATTGACTGTACACTCGATGAATGTCATGATATTGCCGTTGCGCTGACTGTTCTCAATCAACGCGTTCATCATATACCTGTCCAGTCGGTTGAAGTTCACCGTCAGATACCTCTCTTCCTGAAGATACTGACAACACATCCATATATAAGTGACATTAGTATTGAGTGCTAATTATCATCGCATGTCTTCAAACACACTATTATCACAACCTTTGAAAACACACTTTCAATGATAACTATGAAAGTCATGTCAAGACAGTTGTGATGATAGCGTGCAACTCATGAGTGGTGGTAAAACCTACCTTAAGAAATGAGATCACGTAATGATAGTGTTTGACATTCAGCTCAAACTGATGTCCGTTTATTTTTCTGGGCGTTATCTTTATGCTATCAATGATCTCATCGACCGCTGCGTTGTTCTTCAGACAGTCCAACCGGAACTCTTGCGGTGATATCAATCCGATCTCCGCCTGGATCTGATTCTTCGACAACTCGTACGTCTTGAACGTGAGATTACGGGTGAAGTCAGAGGCGGTCAAGTCGTCCGTCGGGAATGAAAACAGCGGTTCCCGCGTCCGAAGACTCTCACCGTAATTGATTGGGTCCGGGTTTGTCATCGGATCCAAAAGCGCTTAACGAACACCACTATTGACCACCGATTGCCACGTGTCTGAAGACTGTGTCTGTGTTTACTATTTCACAGCTTTGTTTACAATCACATCTCACACCCACTCACGCACTGAGCGTAACGTTGTTTGCGAACGCATTCATCGCTTGTTTACAAAAGCAAAACATTTAGTGTTTTGTTTTGATTTGTGTTTTAATTGATTACAAACAGAGATAACGAAGACATGTGTTTGTGTGGCCATCGTTGAGTGGCCATCGCTTTGGACACCGGAAGAAGTGGTGACACGAGATGTGCGACAACAACGACGACTTCGCGTCGATGACGAGCGACGCCCACAACGACTGCTCAGTCAATGTGTTTGATTTGGTGCCGAACGAGATCTTGGAGACCATCTGCGGCCAGAGGTGTGTCCACTACGAGGACTTGTCTCGATTGGGTCGAGTGTCCCAACGGTTCCGCGAACTCGTGGACCGAAACGCCGACTTATGGCGCCTCAAGTTTCGCCAACAGTGGCCTCACTTGTGGTCTCACATGTGTCCCACTCGTGACCATCACAGCGACGGTTCCGGTCAGTCGACGGCCCATTCGGTGGCCGATTGGCACGGATTGGTCGTCGATCGGCACGTTATCGGTCGTCGGGTACGGCTCGAGGTCTCCCGTCTGAGCGCTGATCACTATCTGGACGAAGAGTTGTCCAACGAATCGTTCAAAGCGTTTCTCGATTACGACCTTATGATGAGTGGACGCCATTGTCCGGAACTGAGCGTACATTTGATTGATTTGTTTCAAATCAATGAATTGGAAGTACTGTTGAACGACGGCTTCGACCGCAAGAACTTAACCGACAAATACTATACACTAAAAGTGTTGCGCTTTTTGAGACACGAGTCGCACTTCTCTGCTACCTGAGTTATGTACCGGTCGCTACACCTCAGCGCGCTGGTGAAGGTGCCGAGTGAGTACTAGAGCAGCACCAAAGTCAACTTAGCCTGCCAGCTGCTCACAGTGATAGCCGCGGTAATCGAGTTGATGTCATTGTTGACTATCGATGAGATTGCGCTGAAGTACGGCTCCAATGCTCTTATACGGGAAAATGGGGGCAAATGTTTGCCCGATTCGGAGGCCAACGCCTTAACCGAATCCAAATGGAGTCCAAAAGACTGCAAACAAATACTGTTTTCGCTGAATGAAGTGCTGTTCATTCAATTGGGTTTCGTGTCCAACGATGAAGACTATTATGATATGAACAACTCATTCATGGATAAAGTGATTGACAATCGGTTGGGAATTCCGATAACGTATTGTATTTTATACCAAACAATTGCCGCTAAATTAGGAGTTAAGTTATTTGGCGTCAATTTTCCCAACAATTTCATCCTTAAATGGAAACAATTCGAGTAAATTAACCCTTTTATTGATTACTCTTTCAATTATCGCTTGTTTTACCGAAACTATTGTTTTATTGTCACTAAACAGTGAGAGTGAGTCCACTAATCGGTGGGCGTATATCGATGTGTACCGAAGTGGGCAACTGTTGAGCCCGACATCAGCCCTATTCCAGGACCACAGCAGCGCTGACATCGAGTGTATGGGTGTGTGCTCTGCGCGCGACCTCTTCTCCCGGATGTGTCGTAATCTCGTTGAGATCGGACGACAGCAGGAGATCTCATCGGAAGGACTCATATGTCTGCGCAATGCACTGGAATTGCTATGCATTCTGGCGCCCGATGACAATGAGCCGCAACTACTCCTCTCCAGAGTGTACTTACATTTGAACATCAATTTAGAAGAAGTGAATGAAATGTTACAAAAGATCAGCGAAAGGGATCCCAACTCTATCGGTGTTGTGATGTTTTTGCGACAATCGGTGGCGAGTCAACTGTCGGCCAAACGCAATACCAGCGCCAATAGCCGCAAGACATGCGTCAAACGACGCAAAGACAACAGTGATATCAAATACGCCATCGGAATGATTATGTCTCACATTAAGTCTGTTATTTCACACCATCTGATTGTCAGCAAAATTAATGCAAATCTTGTTTTGTTATTTAATAGATATAACTATCGGTGCGTTATATACGGGTGGGACTCGAAGTGTGCGGCGAGTCGTGATTGGATCTATCAAATGGGTGTCTATAATCTGCCGAATAAGGATAAGCAGCCCTTCTATAACGTGTTGGTAGAGGACGGCTCCAGCCGTTACGCGGCGCAGGAGAACCTCCAGCCCAGCGATGAGCCCCTGGAGATCAAACACCCAGAGGTCGGCAAGTATTTCAAAGAGTTTGCCGAAACTCATTACATACCCAATGAACAAAAGGCCGACGAATACCCGGACGACGAGTCGGCTGTCGATAGTATATTGAAAACATAGAGTGTTTTTTAATTACAAAATTAATTAATTACAAAACTTTTATCGATTAGTTGTGCCACGCATTACATCGAGTTAATAATCAATTTGTTTAAATCAATGTTTTGTTATAGATATTAATGTTATAATATATTTTTTTATATTAGAAATCACTATAAAAATTAATTTAGTTCCTAATGATTAGGTATTTGTATTGATTTAATGCATGAATTGTTGCTTTTGTTTTGTGAACTGTTTTTATGTTGTATTTTAAAGCGTTTTGTATAATTTTTTTCCGAAAACTCATTAATATATGTAATAAAAGTTGTTTTGAAACTCAAATTAATAAAACACTTAAAATGAAAACCAACTGATATTTTGTACTTTTAATATCGATTTTGTAGTTTTAATTTCTCATTTGAGACATAAAACAAATACAATAATCATTGACTTAAACATTAAAATTATAAATTCAAATACAATTTGAGGACAAGAAAGTTATAATCTTATTACAACAGCAATTTTTTAAGACTTTTTAAATCAAAAATATACTTTTTTTGTATAAAATATATACTTTACTTTAATTGCTAACGTAACTTTTACTTACAGATGAGTTCTTTATTACTCTTTTTATATATGTTTTACATAAAAATCTAATGAATATAACGATTAATAAAGTGAAATCACGCACACATGAGAAGTCAAATGAGAAATCGATTATAAAAATAAATAAATTTTTATAACTTTTAATGAAAACGAATCCATATTTTCTTATAACTTCTTTTTAAGATATTTGAAAAAACATTTTCCTATAGTTTTTAGTTTCAAACTGGCGTTCAGTTTTGTAACAAACACTTCACAATACAGTTAGAGATTTACTAAACAGAATCTAAGCACTAAATTATGGCCAAATCAAGCAAATTGTTGACTATGTTTCGGGTGTTTGTTATCGTTTTGATATTTCCCTTCAGTAATGCATTTATGGAAAACTTCGGCCAAATGTTTGGCAATATGGGTGACAACTTATCCGGGTTTGTGGACAGTCTGTACAATAACGTGGACTCGTGGGCCGACCATATCATTCAACACGCAAAGGACGAGGACTGCGAGTTTATATGTCCGCACAGTATGTCTATGTCTTTTACATTCATATAAACCACATATTCTTGTGTTCAAACATATTCCTCACAATTGAGGTCCAAATATAAAATGCAGTTTTGTATTGCATAAAATACACCATCTTCATTTTTATGTTTCTTGTATAAACTTAATACTAGATCTATAGGATAATGAATAATGTTATTTTAGTGATTACATTGAAATTTAATTAAAAATACTATGAATTAACTTTTTGTAGCGAAAATTGCTGTCCATAACACGTCTTATGAACATCACCCCAAAGGATGCAAAACATTTGGACTGAAGGTATTTTGAATTATGAAATCATTTTGATTATGAATTCAAATATTTACCAAATGTTATGTAATTGATATGAATTCAGATCAAAGAGTCAGATCTGCCGATCAAAGAGATGCAACTCTGTTGTAATGAACACCAGATGTGTTATCATAAATGCGGATCCGTTAAGAATGATTGCGACGACAAATTCAACGAATGTCTGTTCCAGAAGTGCAAAGAGACTCAGAAAGAGGAGACCCTTATGAAAGGTAACACATTTACTCATTATGCATATGAATAGAGTGATTAGAGAAAAACTACTATAACAATCCATTGGCTTGATTGTAACTTAAATGATGTTGTATTGAATATATGGAAAAATGTAAACTTTGTAATGCTATTCAATGCTAATATATTTGCAATAATTGTGTGGAAAGGGTGTCGAACGGCAACAAAGCTATTAATGATGAGTTTCCTGACGTTTGGCTGCAAGAACTATAAGGATTCACAGAAGAACGCCTGTATGTGTGTCGCCAGCGATGAACTATAGACCTATCACTTAGAGGGTATAGAATATTAGTTATTCTATACAATATTCTCTATGTCTATTGCTTTACCTCTCACACCCCCTACACATACCATACACTCCAACAACACTTATAAACTATATAACAATTAATGCTATAATTATATATTTGTAAACCCAATTTAGAGAAATACAAGTAAATTATTTTGTTATAACATTACTCAATATGTGTATTAACTTGTTGTCTATAAACTGCATAAATAGCTGTATTCTTGTAAACATGGATTTGATTGTAAAACACTAAATAAGACAAATAAAAGTATGTTTTTGAAAATGTGTTGTTTTTTGACATAAGGAACTGTTTATATACTATAGTAATTGAACTTGGTAAACTTCCAATTCTGTATCTATACATTAATTCACCAAATAAAGTATAACTTATATTGTATTTGTTTGAAATTAAGAATTTAGTTTTCTATAAGATATTTCTTATTAATTTTTAATAAATTGCATTAAATTCTAATACAATTAAATTAAATTTCAATTCCATTAAACGGACAATCGTTTCCTGTTTTGCAATTCAGTTAACGATGTCTTCACTTCATTGGAATCGCCTTTAGATAAGTGTTCACTCATTTTGTCCACAAATTATTATGCAATTAATATTTAATAATAGATTTAAATATAATTTCTAAAACGGTTGACAATTATTTGATACCAACATTTTCAATTGTTTTATAAATAACTCAAACTTTTATATTCAATACAAATCTGGTGTAAAACAATTGAATGATAAAAGTAATGACAGTAAAGATAAACATATAATTGTCTGCAATTCAATGCGATTCCTATCGGGAATGCAATCCATGTTTGAAATGTCCGTCCATTGGATTGAATGCAAAATGTGTTCACAATCTTCAACACAGAATATTCTGTACACTATTTCAATGCATTGAATGCATTACACGAATGGAGACGTTATCTATAAATAGTCACCAAAACTATAGTTTCAATGCAATGACGCAAACAATGAAATAATGTATAAACAAATTCAGTGAAAATCACAACAAAAACATTGCAATCATTGGTTGCAAGTCATCGGCTGAAGACATAATGGAATGGACAGGTCGTGGAGGACTTCCCGGCGACAAACACGACGGCCCGGTATTCAACTACAACTCTGCCTTCAAATACACTCGAGTGGCCACCGATGACGAGATCCACGGCGGCGAAAACTATTCCCCTGAAGATGACATCGCATTGGAACCGTCACAACGGTATCCACTTATCAATCAATTGATCCATAAACTGATCGTCGGAGTCTTTTATGTCACTTTTATTGTCACATTTCCCGTCTCCGCCTTCTTCTGCATTCAGGTAACCATTAATTGTCATTGAATTCACCATTTTATCAATTGATTGTTGCTCTCAAACAGCGGATCCAATCCCTCCAGAGATGTATTGTCTATCGATTGGGAATACGTCTACCACTGAAAGGACCCGGTATTTGATTGTCTTTTGGCATTTGTGTCACATCTCTATTAAACACACCCTTTGTTTGTCTCAAACAGGACTTGTAATTAAGTTCCCATTCATCGATAGCATACAAATTGTCGATTTGTCTGATTATGAGTTCCTTTTGGTCGACAAAACCAAACAACTGATGACATGTAAGCCATCCATCACTTGATTCGTGAGGTTTGATATAATTTCGATGTGTGTTTAGCCGACGGATCAATTGTGGAGTTCAGTGACATGAGCTGTTGCCTCAATGTGTTGAATGTGATCAGGAGTTCCGCTAAACTGAAAGACGCCCAATTCAATGCCCAACAGTTCTGTCGGCTATCGTTCGCTAATATGATTGCCGGCACTCATGTCGAAGACTTGGAGAACAAGACGGACACCATTTTGAAACAATTTGAAGAGAATTGCAATATGTATCTCAACGATAAGGGCTATACCGCCAAAGTGGAGCACTTGTGAGATCACTGCTTATCATAATTATAAATAATATTAAACAACAATTAATTAATTAATTATTAATGACAATTATATGACAATTTAGGCCCAAATTTGTAGTGATAAATCGGGCCAATCCTCTCAATCCCATCGTTTCTAAACTGATGTCAATGTTTGGCGGCGGACCCGATGGAAGCCAGACTACGAACCCAATGGTCAACGATCTCATGAGACTACAGGCGCCCACTTCTGGTCAGACTGAGCTCAGTGAGGATCAAGTGGTCGCTTCGCTTCAACGAATGGCCGAGAAATACCGCAATTATGTCTTTCACGACATCTTAATCTCAATCCAAGTATTGGATGTGAACTCAAACGAGTTCTTCACGTTCTGTCACTCAACAGGTTTTGATATCTCTTTTTATAATGAATTGATTTTGATTGTTGTTATATAATTGAACGCACAGGAAAAGTGTACAAGGTGAATGCAAAGCCCACTAACAGAATCGACATCAATATCAGCGCCGATAACACACAACAACTCATGAAATTCTGTTGCGATAATGACATGAATAGCGTCTCAATTACCACTAGTTTGATGTAAAGCCATGTTTTGGTTTTGTTGGTTACGAACCATACAATCGAAACGTTTATATTTTAATCACTATTATATGAGTATATGTTTTGATGTGATCTCACGTACGAAACAGTTCCTGAGAGAGAGAGAGAGAGAGAGAGAGAGAGAGATTTCCCGTATAATAAAATACTGACTCAAAACTTGCATAATACATTTTAATTTAAATTCTACAATAAAATATAATCAAATCAAAGTACCATATTTAGATTTCCTATGTTTACACACTGTGTGAACACTCGCTATAATGAATAGGATTTCAC